GGCTAACTCAATTTGTTTGCGCGACACAATTTTTCAAAACCCCGAAGGGACTTTGTGTGGACACGTGTTACGACAAATTTAGAAGCTACCTCATTGAGATGGAAAATAATTTCCTTTACTAATTCACCAGTCTGGTATATAGTATTTGCTCAAATATAAGACTAGGTCTTTAGGCACACAAAATGAAGTTATTTAATTTTCATTACCATTTTATTGAAATTAGTGTTACAGTCTTAAATTTGAACTGGTGCAGCTATAATTTAGGTCTGCCTAAGAGCATATCTTGTTCTCTTCATTTTAAAGAAGCTTGTGATGGAATTTTTGCTGTTATTTGTTGCAGTCCAAAATTTAATATGTTCTGACACTGAGTTTGGCCTGTATTCTCACATTCTCATACTGCAGAAGGTTGAACAAGTAAAGTATATATTTTCCAGGTAAATTATGTTATGATTTTGTTCTTATAATGTAATATAATATTCTGTAACTGATTTTTCATTCAAGGAATGATGACATAATCCGTTTGAGTCATAATCTTCGGCGACTAGCAGACGAGTTTGCTCAGTCAGAGCTTCGTGAGCATATTCGACAAACAGCTGATGGAGTTAATTTAGATAGTCTAGACTTCACAGCCTTTTCTGATCTTGTGGCTGGATTGTTTCAGGTATTGTAAATTACCATGTTTCATCAACGGCAAATTTAGAAGCTACCTCATTGAGATGGAAAATAATTTCCTTTACCAATTCACCAGTCTGGTATATAGTATTTGCTCAAATATAAGACTAGGTCTTTAGGCACACAAAATGAAGTTATTTAATTTTCATTACCATTTTATTGAAATTAGTGTTACAGTCTTAAGTTTGAACTGGTGCGGCTATAATTTTGGTCTGCCTAAGAGCATATCTTGTTCTCGTCATTTTAAAGAAGCTTGTGATGGAATTTTTGCTGTTATTTGTTGCAGTCCAAAATTTAATATGGTCTGACACTGAGTTTGGCCTGTATGCTAACATTCTCATACTGCAGAAAGTTAAACAGGTATATATTTTCCAGATAAATTATGTTATGATTTTGTTCTTATAATGTAATATAATATTCTGTAACTGATTTTCCATTCAAGGAATAATGACATAAACTGTATCAGCCAAAATCTTCGCCAACTAGCAAATGAGTTTGCTCAGTCAGAGCTTCGTCACAGAGTTCAAGAGAGAGCTGAGTCTGCCTGTTTAGAAAATCTAAACTTCACTACCTTCTCTGATCTCCTGTTTGGATTGTTTCAGGTATTGTACATTACCATGTTTCATCATTTACTTTTTACTTCTTACAGCAAGAACCTTTGGATTGTATGAAATGTTTAACATTTCTTGAGTAGCTGATGTACTGTTGGCTTGATCTCAAGAAGGGTTTTGCTCCATGAAGTTGGTTTACAGCAAGAAGATATACTGTGTAGTACATTACCAGTGTTTTCTCTGTACACTCTTCCTGTGTTAAAACAGACCCACTGATGAAAAGTTGCAATGTAACTTTTCCTCTCTTAATTTCTTGCAGATGGGAATTTCAAGTGTGATGCTGATTTGTAGTTGTACTTTCTAATAGCATAGACAATAGAATATTAGTACAGAACATGCAAGGCAATAAATAAAGAAAAACTTTAAATTCAGATACTTATAGTATGAAAAAATATAGTTACAAAAACTAAAAATGGCTTTCCAGCTGGCCTGCATGTGATAAAGGTGGATGGAAGGCGATAATTGAAAGAGATGCTAGTTTTTGTTGATAATGCTATCTGTCACTAATGAAAGATAAATCATGCAGCAGCACTGAAACCATAATAGACTCTTGGACAATGGATTAATAATTGAACTGAGAAAACTTTGGATCCAGCAGTAAAAATTAAGGTAAATGTAATGGGATCTATTAGTTAACGGTGCAACAAAAAACATTTCTCACCACTTTCAGACACAAATGACTTTCTGCAAAGAGGATTACAAGATGCATTCTGTAAATAATTGTTTCTGAAAAATTATTTTTGAAATCAGAGTGCACAGCTCTTTGTTATTTTTTTGACATGGTCTCATCATGTCTTTACAGACCCAGTACTTATCATCTGGGTACCCAACTTACATTCTGTGAACTCTATTGGATGACTGACAGTTTTGCCCACAGTTCTTGTTTGATAATTTGTATCAGATTTCTCAGAGTGAATATTCATCTTTAGGAATAGCCAGATATCAGTAAGTTAAGTGAGCAAATTAAGTATGTTGAAGAGCACCTTGATACCATTTTTTGTGAAAAGGCAGTCTCATAAACACAACCACTTCATATGATTTTTCATATTGTGATTGACAGTTGCATTTTGCACCTTGTATTATCATTATAAAATTAGTGTCTACAGATCATTTCATGTAAGCTGAGAAGGATATATCTTGTGTGACTCAGGTCTAGGACCATATTGATTTGGTAAAAACACATTCTGTGACTCTCTTTCCCCCAACCAAACACGTTTATAATTTTGGATACAGCCTTCTGAATTTTGTTGGTTACTGTGCTACTCCCATTACAGTTTAACAGAAATAAATTCTAAAGGGGAGAAGATTTTATATCTGCTGATAAATGTAGTGTTTATTTACTACATCATTAATTAATGGTAAAAACAATTGGGACATAGTACATTCATCTGCAGCTTTTCTTACAAAGGATATTCCAGAAGGGCTGATATGGCCTTCCAGCAGTTGACATTGTGCTCAGCCACTATAGATGACTTATTAAAACAGAGACACTTACTTTCTTAATGACCAGCACTGAACATGCCATGAGATTGGAATCTGACAGTAAATAACCTGATCACCCCAGCAGTTACCAACACTGAGGTGTTCAAAGCTTCGCTGCTTTACAGTGAAGGACATCCATCCATTTATGCTTTCATTACAAGCAGTCACCACTTGTAATCGCTTCTGCTAAAAGACACAATTGTCCTTCACAAAATTCAAACTCCACATATCATCATAGATGCAAAAGATACAAACGCTAAACCTGCCATTCTGTTCATATATTCTAAGATGGAGTGCCTTTCTTTTGTCTCATCCACAATCTGATTTCATATTCCAAGTAAATGAAGTCTATACCTGCTGTTGGGTCACTTGTCCCCTTCCAGCATGAGAATCCATCTGTTCCATTGAATATAACTGGTGATATGATAGTGTGTGTGTGTGTGCAGGCATCAGAGAGTGAGTGAGTGACTCATTCGGTTAATCAAAGTTTTGGATGATTATAATGTGTTGAGTGTGTTAGACAGTATAATATTTCAAACAGTAGTTTACAGTGCAGGAAGAGGCACTATTCATAAAGTAAATTATTTTGTAATGATGGGAATATTAATAGGTGTTTTGTAAATTTCCATGGACTTCCAGTCTGCTATTGATAACAGCACTTTTAGGAATGAACTCATAATTAACCTTCAGAGTCCTTACTAACCATGCATTGTTCTTTAAAATGTAAGTATACAGTTATGACTGAAGTTTAAACAGTGTCTCTGACAGGTTAAATAAAGGCTCAAAATTACAAGAGGTTATGCAACTCTAATATTATGCTCAAGTAGAATGGAAAGATCATGGGGTGTGTATCATTTTAAAAATAACTGCAAGTAGTAACAGGTAGTCAGTAAACCAGACATTTTAGCATTAATAAAAGATTTTAATGGATGAATAGACAACTGAACAAAAGGGAATTTTAGTGTAACCATAACTAATAAACTAACTCCCTGGTAGCACAACCTGAAGGTCCATTTACCATCCTCACAGCCCACCTCCCTAAGATCCACCTGGATATTATCCTCCCATCTCCTTCTTGGTCTGCCAAGTGGTTGTTTTAGAAAGATTTCCCACCAAAATTCTGTATGCACTCCTTGATCTCTCTCCTCCTCTCCCCCCCCCCCCCCCCCACCCC